TTTTATGCTGCTGTCACTAGTATATCACACATATACTGCAGTGATAGTCTGTCTTCTTCTCTATCATAACAGTGTAGTTTCTGTCAGCTTCTCTCAAATCTGCAGAGAAGTAAATATGTATTTAACTTATCATACCAGGCTCGTGGAGCTTTGAGGTCGTATAAGGCCTTATGAAGAAGATAGACATGTCTCTCCTTTCCAGGCTAAATGAATCCCGGTGGCTGCTCAACATAGATTTCTTCATTCAGTTTGCCATTCAAGAAAGCCGACTTCACATCCAAATGCTTCACACTCCATCTAAACTGAGCAATCATGGCCAAAATGAGTCTAATTGTTTCATGCCTGGCCACAGGAGCAAAAGTCTCTGTGTAGTCGATTCCAGGAAGCTAGGAGTACCCCTTTGCTACAAGCCGTGCCTTGTGCTTGTTTATTGTCCCGTCCGGATTCAGTTTCACCTTGAACACCCACTTTACTCCAATAGGCTTTATGTCTGCACTTGATTTTACCAGAGACCAGGTATTGTTCTTCTCGATCATCCTGATTTCCTCTTCCATAACAAGCTTCCACTCTTGCTGCTGAAGTGCTTCCTCAATAGAGGAAGGTTCCTTTGAAGCAAAGCTGCACCTTTCATAGATGTCAGCTAAGCTTTTCATTTTTGTTCTCCTTTCTGCTTCATCTTCTTTATCTTCATCCTCTTCTTCCTCAGCTTGAGTTGGGTTTAATACTGACAGAGATTTCATTCATTCTTTCACTGTCACACAGTCTGGTTCGACCTTCTGCTTCTCCCAATTCCAATAGCTCCTTTCGTCCACTGTAACATCTCTTCGAATCATAAGCTTGTTGGTTTTCAAGCTTAGAATTCGATATGCCTTTGCTTATGTACTGTAACCCAAAAATACTCTCAATTCAGCCTTCTCTTCTAACTTTGATCTCCTGTCATCCGAGACATGGCAGTAGCACACCGAGCCAAACACCTTTAAATACTTAGTCGATGGTTTGATGCCACTCTAGGCCTCCGCATGTGTCATCTCCTTCACAGCCTTTGTAGGGAGCATGTTGAGCAGGAACACAGCAGTGTTCACTGCCTCAGCCCACAAGGCTTTAGGCAAGTGCTTGTCAGCAAGTATGCTTCTTGCCATCTTCACAATGGTTCTGTTCTTCCTCTCCGAGACACCATTTTGTTGAGGAGAATATGGTGCCGTGAGCTGCCTTTTGATCCCATTCTCTGAACAGAAGTCCTTGAATTTACTAGAATTGAATTCAAGGCCATTATTCGTCCTTAGGCACTTTAGTACACAATCACTTTCCATATCTGCAATAGCCTTAAACTTCTTAAATTCACTGAAAATTTGAGCTTTATTCTGCAGGAAGCAAACCCAAATCATCCTGAAAAAATCATCTATAAACAAGCCAAAGTACTTGCATCCGCTCATAGAGTTTTCCGTCATCGGACCGCAGATGTCAGAATGGATAAGTGCCAGCCTCTCTTCTGCTCTCCAATCTGCTTGCGAAGGGAAAGAATTCCCTGTCATCTTCCCCATCTAGCAGGCACCACATACTGACTCAGTGACTGCAATGTTTGGGAAGTCCTTGGTTAGGCCTCCTTTCTGTAGTTGTTGTAACCCAGCCGCATGAAAATGCCCAAGGCGTCTGTGTCATATCTCACCTTCTGTTACAGTGGCAACATTGGCCTTCTCGACTACTTCTTTGAGCTTCAAGGAGTAGACTTGATCATTCTTTTAGATGAAAGCAATCAATCTATCCTAAGGATCATATATCCTGCAATAATTATCCTTGAATACAACCGAGTAGCCTCGATCAGTCATCTGATTCACACTCAAAAGATTCTGTGAGAGGGTAGGAACAAAATTCACATCAGTGATAAGCTTCATATCTTCCCTGGTTTCAATGGCTATGTTACCTTTGCCCTTGATGGTTTTCAGCATACCATTTCCAAGCCGTACCTGACCTGAGACTATTTTGTTAAATTATGCAAACAAGGCCTCATCCTTACACATGTGGGAGGTGCACTCACTGTCCACCACCAAGAGAGTATCATCCTCCACTGACGGCTCACTTGATGCAACGAGAATTGTAGCACGTTGCTCACTGGACACCTCGGTGACATTTGCATGCTGTAGTTCCTGCTTTGGTTGCATCCTTCTTGCTTCTGTTTCTACCTGCAGAATTTCTCCTTATGACCAAGCCTTTTGCAGAAGTTGCACCGAACGACTTTCTTTCCCTTGTACTAGCACTCATTTTCAAGGTGGTTTGTCAAGGAACAGATGCTGCACTGAGAATATTTCTTTTACTTACTGGAATTTTGATTTCCAGTTTGATTCCATTCACTCATTCTCCTTTGATTCTGTGTTGAAAAGTTACCTTTGATCTGAGTTGAAATTAAGGCTCCCTCAGTATGTTGTCGGACATGCATATTTATCCGCTGCTCACTAGATTGAAGCTTGTTTATCAACTCAGCCGAGGAGATAGATTCAATGTCGGAAAGCTCCTCCAAGGCTGAGATTTTAGACTCGAATTTAGGGGGCAAGCTGATAAGAATCTGCTCTACCACCATTGATTTCGGAAAATCCTCCCCAAGCAGCCTCATTTTGTTTACCACATCCGAGAGTTTGGAGGCATAGTCCTTCACTGATTCATTTTCCTGCATTTTGAGTAATGCAAACTCACTCTTCAGTCTCAAAATTTTTATTTTCCTGCTTCTGACTCCCCCATCGAACTCTTCCTTCAGTTTCTCCCAAGCAGTCTTTGGTGATTCGAAGTTCATAATCCTTGGAAATACTCTATCCGAGATAGCCGAGAAAAGGCAAGCAATAGCCTTTGGTTTCTTGGCCTTGTCTTCCTCATGCCTTTTGATTTCGTTTCGAGTGGTAGTATCCCTTAGTGGAGGAGGATCGCTGTCATTGATAATAACATCCCACATATTTAAGGCTTTCAGATGGGCTCTCATTTTGATTGCCCATACATGGTAATTTTCTTCGTTGAAGTGTGGGGGAGGTGAGGTTCTAGTGGATGTCATCGGGTTTTCGAGAGTATGTTGATTTACCGGTCCCTTAAGATAAAGGCTCTAATACCACTTGTTGTTCTTAACTAAATGAGCTTCAAAGGAGGTTATGTGAATGAGAGAACTTAGAGAGAGAAAGTTGATGAGAGAGAGGGACAACAAAACAGAGCAAAATTATTCAACAGCCTCTGTTTTGCTGTTTTCTTAAATACGGTGTTTTTATTGGAGAAGAAGGACTACAGATTTCTTTTTATTGCTTGTATATATAAGAATGCAAATAGAAACAGGTTACATCAACCGACTGATTAGATCAGAAAGCCCAAAATCCATGCATACAGGTTGCATGGAGTTTTCGTATCCTACCGTGAAACAACTTCACGGTTAATTTGAACTCTAATTTGAAACTAAACAGATAAAAAAAATTATTAAATTTAACAATTAAATTTAACAGTCCTCCAAACAGCGTTTATAAAATGTTCCCTTTTCAACCAAGGTTTTTCAGTTTGGTTCTCTCTTCCTTCATTGAGAAAGAGAAGAGATTAGTTTACCTTCTTTCTTTCTTTCTTTCTTTCTTTCTTCCGAGTGAAGCGAGGGGCAAGTGAGGAAGGTTTTTCACTTTTTGTTCTCTCTTCCTTCATTAACAAAAATAGAAGAGATTAGTTTTTGCTATTTCGTTCTTTCTTTCTTTCCTTCTTTCTTTCTTTCGAGTGAATCAAGGGGCAAGTGAGGAAGGT